TTCAAGTACCGGAGCTGACAGCTTAAATCTCACATTGGGCGCATGTGTATGCATGCCCAAAAGCCCAAGAGGAGAATGAAGAAGAAGGAATTGTGGCATGGCCATCCCCTCAGGAGGTGATTTCCCACTTTCTGTCTCTTTGTCTCTCTGGCGAGCGCACACACCTTATAGAAAAAAAATCTCTAAAAGAAAAAGAAAGAAAGAAAAGAAAACCCTTATTGCATCAACCAGAAGAATCTGATTCATACTGATTTCCTTTTTGTCACTTAGCAAAGAGAATTACTCTACACACAGCTCAAAATAAGTAACGTATAAGAGAAATTTCTGATATCTACAATGTACGAAAATGGCATAAACCTGGATTTCCAAACATTTTCTGGAAACACAAAACATCCATTTTTCTCAAGAAATTTCAGGGGCTAGCAGATAGCATGGAGGTAGGCATTGGTTCTCACATGACTGGCTGTACAATTCGTGTCCCAGACCCAGTGATTTGAAAATTATCCCAGACACGTGTGCATGCATACTCCAAGTCCTGAGAGGAAAATGCAGGAGAAGTGATGGTCTCGTGGCCATGCCTCCTAGGGGGTGATTTCTCACTTCCCTCTCTCTCTCTCTCTGGTGGAACATGCACCCTTATAGCAAAAATCTTTTAAAAAGAGAAATTTCTAAAACTTCCTTAAGAGTTTATATATATATGTATAAAATTCCATGTAAAAACTGTTCATCTATAAAGAAATGAAAAAAATATATCAGTCTGGTTGTTAAAGTAGTTACACTGTTGGCTCAAAGGTCACAAAAACCTTATCAATAAGAGAAACATATTAAAGAAAAAATCGAACTCAGACATCATGGACTCTTAATGGAAGATACGTTGTGCAAACCAGTGGATCGGCAGCATGAGAACTCTCTAAGGAAAAGAAGTCAGCCAATGGGGACCAGCAGTTAGCATAATGGCTATGTCACTGAACTCCCATGTAGCTGACTACGGTTCGAGTCCCAGACCTGGTGGCTTAAACTCATGCCAGGCATGTGTGCATGCGTGCCCAAGATGCTGAGAGGAAAATGGAGAAGGGAACGTGGCATGGCCATCCCCCCTGGGGGGGGGGTGATTTCTCACTTTCTGTCTCTCTTTCTCTTTCTCTTTCAGCCAAAGATTTACTGCGCATCAAGTTATAAATATTTGTAAGTAATTTCAAGTTATAAGAATGCTTTTTGCGGTATTTCCTTCATTATCTACAGAGATGCACAGTGTTATAAAACTATCTTAGGAGACTTCTTTCTGAGACTATGTGCTCATTAACAAGGAAGAAGTTATGAAAATTACTTATTGCTATCCCAGTATATTTTAAAGGCATGTGTGTAATTTGCCAGAAATGACCCACTTCTGAACTTCGGCAAAGTGGTTAAAATGTATTAATATGGGCCAACAGAAGGCATGACACAGGGGAGCCAGCAGGTGGCGTAGTGGTCGGGGTGCTGAACTCCATGTGGTCAACGGCTGTATGAGTCCTAGACCCAGAGGCTTGAAACTCACGTCACGCACATGTGCATGTGTGCTCGGAATCCCAAGAGGAGAATGGAGAAGGGATTGTGGCATGGCCATCTCTTCAGGGTGTGAGTTCTTGCTTTCTGTCTCTCTGGCAAGTTTGTGCACCCTATAGCAAAAATCTCTCTCTCAAAAAAGAGGAGCGGTAGGAAGAGAAAGATAATAAAGGAAAAGGAAATGGAAAGGGGGTGGGTCAAAAGATCAAGAAAGAGAGATGTCTGAGTATATATTGCTAACTAAATGACAATAAAAATGCGTCCATTCCTCCATTCTCCTCTCGGGATCCTGGGCATGCATGCACACGTGCCCGGCATGAGTTTTAAGCCACCGGGTCCGGGACGCAAACCGTGGTCGACGACATGGGAGTCCAGTGACATAGCCATTACGCTAACTGCTGGTTCCCTATATTTATTTTTTAACACTTTCTTTATTTTTCCATTTCTTTTTTATAGCCACTATCCAATCTCAACTTGTCAGAAATCTCCCTTATTTGGGGTAGCTTAAGAAACTTTTTATTTCAGGGCTACAGGTGGCGTGGTGGTTAAGGCACTGGACACTCCCACATGGCCAACCATGGTGGTTTACGTATTCACTTTCCCACTCTCTCTCTGGTCAAATTAAAATAAATGAATGAATAAATAAAATTAAATAATTAAGTCTTTAAAAAGAAAAAAGAAAATTTTTATTGCTAGGGACCAGCAGATGGTATAGCAGTTATGTCACCGGACTCCCATGCAGTTGACCATGGTTCAAGTACCGGAGCTGACAGCTTAAATCTCACATTGGGCGCATGTGTATGCATGCCCAAAAGCCCAAGAGGAGAATGAAGAAGAAGGAATTGTGGCATGGCCATCCCCTCAGGAGGTGATTTCCCACTTTCTGTCTCTTTGTCTCTCCGGCGAGCGCACACACCTTATAGAAAAAAAATCTCTAAAAGAAAAAGAAAGAAAGAAAAGAAAACCCTTATTGCATCAACCAGAAGAATCTGATTCATACTGATTTCCTTTTTGTCACTTAGCAAAGAGAATTACTCTACACACAGCTCAAAATAAGTAACGGATAAGAGAAATTTCTGATATCTACAATGTACGAAAATGGCATAAACCTGGATTTCCAAACATTTTCTGGAAACACAAAACATCCATTTTTCTCAAGAAATTTCAGGGGCTAGCAGATAGCATGGAGGTAGGCATTGGTTCTCACATGACTGGCTGTACAATTCGTGTCCCAGACCCAGTGATTTGAAAATTATCCCAGACACGTGTGCATGCATACTCCAAGTCCTGAGAGGAAAATGCAGGAGAAGTGATGGTCTCGTGGCCATGCCTCCTAGGGGGTGATTTCTCACTTCCCTCTCTCTCTCTCTCTGGTGGAACATGCACCCTTATAGCAAAAATCTTTTAAAAAGAGAAATTTCTAAAACTTCCTTAAGAGTTTATATATATATGTATAAAATTCCATGTAAAAACTGTTCATCTATAAAGAAATGAAAAAAATATATCAGTCTGGTTGTTAAAGTAGTTACACTGTTGGCTCAAAGGTCACAAAAACCTTATCAATAAGAGAAACATATTAAAGAAAAAATCGAACTCAGACATCATGGACTCTTAATGGAAGATACGTTGTGCAAACCAGTGGATCGGCAGCATGAGAACTCTCTAAGGAAAAGAAGTCAGCCAATGGGGACCAGCAGTTAGCATAATGGCTATGTCACTGAACTCCCATGTAGCTGACTACGGTTCGAGTCCCAGACCTGGTGGCTTAAACTCATGCCAGGCATGTGTGCATGCGTGCCCAAGATGCTGAGAGGAAAATGGAGAAGGGAACGTGGCATGGCCATCCCCCCTGGGGGGGGGGTGATTTCTCACTTTCTGTCTCTCTTTCTCTTTCTCTTTCAGCCAAAGATTTACTGCGCATCAAGTTATAAATATTTGTAAGTAATTTCAAGTTATAAGAATGCTTTTTGCGGTATTTCCTTCATTATCTACAGAGATGCACAGTGTTATAAAACTATCTTAGGAGACTTCTTTCTGAGACTATGTGCTCATTAACAAGGAAGAAGTTATGAAAATTACTTATTGCTATCCCAGTATATTTTAAAGGCATGTGTGTAATTTGCCAGAAATGACCCACTTCTGAACTTCGGCAAAGTGGTTAAAATGTATTAATATGGGCCAACAGAAGGCATGACACAGGGGAGCCAGCAGGTGGCGTAGTGGTCGGGGTGCTGAACTCCATGTGGTCAACGGCTGTATGAGTCCTAGACCCAGAGGCTTGAAACTCACGTCACGCACATGTGCATGTGTGCTCGGAATCCCAAGAGGAGAATGGAGAAGGGATTGTGGCATGGCCATCTCTTCAGGGTGTGAGTTCTTGCTTTCTGTCTCTCTGGCAAGTTTGTGCACCCTATAGCAAAAATCTCTCTCTCAAAAAAGAGGAGCGGTAGGAAGAGAAAGATAATAAAGGAAAAGGAAATGGAAAGGGGGTGGGTCAAAAGATCAAGAAAGAGAGATGTCTGAGTATATATTGCTAACTAAATGACAATAAAAATGCGTCCATTAAGAGACTCGCACTAGTGCCTGGTGGACGATAGTTCTCCATGACTGCATGAGATCTTGAAATAGACTTTGAATGTTACATGCTTACATCAGGACATTTAATGGCTGTGATGGGCTTGCAATCAAAATGTACAAAAGACAAAAGGAAATAAATAAATAAAATGGGCCAGCAGGTGGCATGGTCGTTGAGGTGCTGGGGTGTGGCTTCTCACCTCCCCTCTCTCTGTCTCTGTCTCCCTCCAGTGAGCACATGAGTCCTATAGCAAAACAACAACAAAACAACAAAAGCTATTGAAAACAAGAAAACAAAACATCTCAGAAAATGTCTTACAGTGTTATTTCAAGGTGATCTGGAGAATTTTCCTAATAACACCTACAGTTGTGATTGTGATGAACCCACTCTGTCCCAGCATGCCAAGGACAAGTCCTGAGTACCCATTAGGAGTAAGTTGGTCTACAGAACTACGGATGGTTTTCAAAGTATTTCCTGTGTTCTCCATAGAGTTGAGGAGCTCCACAAGACTGTGCTAGAATTCCATGTAGACTGGCTAGGTTGATGCTGTCTGTAGGAGGGATCCATCAACAGAGACAGAACACTGAAGAGATGAGGACTTCTTTGGCATCCTCCTCAATGCCAAAGGTAACTAACCAGGGGGATGCTTGGTTCATTAACTTTTCTGAAGGATTAATCTCCCACCTGTTCCATATCCTCAGCCCACTCAGACCTCAGTTCCTCAGCAGGTGAGAAGGAGAGGGATAGGGCCATGAATTCTCCTTCCTGTCCATTGACCTGTTTCCTTTTCCATTAGAAAGGCTTTAGTCTACAAGTCAGTGTACCACTGGAGAGGAAAGAAGCCATGAACTGCTTTTACTAAGGAGGTAGATTTGCAAACCTTTTAGCACATGTATGGTTGGATTTGAGTTGCAGCAGCTTGTTTTCCAACGACAGTTTTCTTTCTAGTAGTAATCTCTTTTCCTAAGAAAAAAATAAGACACAATTGTTGCTTATTTGTGTGTGTGTGTGTGTGTGTATGTTGACATTCTTGCAAACTGTTCACAAAAGATGTCTTTTGTAATACTAGAAATATGGCTTGAGCTAAGAGCTAATTTCACATGCACCCTTACGACTCAGTCCTCAAGGAAGCCTGGTCAGCCTATGTGCTTTTTAAGTAGCTCAGTGATAGGTCAAGATTACCTGTCATCACTCCCTCGCCTGCTCGAGAGCTTTTGCTCCTCCTCCAGACTACTGCTGAAACGGAGCCTGTGCAGCTAACCCTCTCCAGCCCACACGGAACAGCCTGCTCAGCCCTCTCTAGGCATCGGCTCTCCCACCACTGCACCTGCTTCTCCTGCATTAGCCTGAGTTGTCGGTATCCAAGGACAATGTTGCACGTATCTTGATACCTCTACCGGCCCACATGGCATCTGTTAGAACGAAGTTAAGTAGTAAATGTATTTTTAATGACGGATCAAGGCCACAAATGATAAAATTGCTTCCTAATTATGATGCAGGATAAACTATGACACTGAGAAAGATATCTGAAAAGTGCTTTAACTTAATTATTAAACCCAACAGCTTCGAGCCAACAGGAAAATAGGCAAATCCATGAGAAACCAGGCTGGAATGATTATACTGTTATATTTGACAGCAATACACTCAGGAAAGAATTTGGAGCATCAGCCTGCTGGTTTAGGCTGCAGGTTAAGAAAAAACAGAAGAGACTGAACAAGGCAGAGATTGGCCTTGGCTACATAAATGGAACTGACTTGAAGAGAGAGATATTTTGAAACTTTCTACTACACTGTTTAAAATCACTTCCTGCTGCAGTGTTTACATGGGTATTACACAGAGCCATGCTGCACCACGGAATCATCAGGAAGACTTTGCACAACAACAACTAATCTGTTTTTTTTTTTTTTTAGAGGTTTTTGCTATAGGGCGCTTGCGCTCGCCAGACAGACAGAGAGAGACACAGAGACAGAAAGCGAGAAATCACCCCCCAGGGGGGATGGTCATGCCACAATCCCTTCTCCTCCATTCTCCTCTCGGGATCTTGGGCACGCACGCACACGTGCCCAGTGTGAGTTTTAAGCCACCAGGTCCGGGACACGAACCATGGTCAACTACATGGGAGTCCAGCAACATAGCCATTACACTAACTGCTGGTTCCCAACAACTAATCTGGTTTTAAAGTTTGAGCCCAAGTTTTAACCTCTCCAGGCCCTATCACTTCAAGAAAAATCAACCAAAATTGTATAAATAAAAACAAGAGACAGGTCGAGCTGTGCTGGCGCAGTAGCATATCATTCCACCACCCAGAAGTCACATGGATGGTCAAGGTTCTGGTCATGGGTCAACCTGTATCCATGTGACAGCCATGCCCATAGTCCTGGCTGTCTAAGAAAGTCTGGGGGAGGGATCGTGGTGTGAGGCCCCATGGAAGTTACTTGTTTTTCCTGCTCTCTTCCCTCTTGTTCTCTCAAAATAAAGAAATAAAAAAATACATATGCTGCGTGTGGTTTTTAATGTCACAATGGGTCATTTAATAATATGACCCAAGAATTACTTCATTCAGAAAATTTCCCTGTTTGATTTTACTATTTACTAGTTCATTAGAGACCTGACTCTGTGAAGTTGCCTATTAATGTGTAGATTTATGTCTAATAGAACAGACAATCCCAAAGGTAGATTGTTTAATTGCCTTAAAGAATACTAACCGATTTTTAAAATCTGATCTAGTAATCCTATTCTGAATCCCATTCTTGTTCTTTTTTTTAAAAAATGCCAATAAACAACCTGTTTCTCAAAATATTTTATTTAAACCAGCTTTAACATCTTACTAATATCCTCATTAATTAATGAGTTGAATGGGATATTTGACATGAATTTATTCTATATTTGTATGAGTGCTGAGAATTTTGCACATGTGCTTGCCAGCGAGACAGAGATAGACAGAAAGCAAGAAATCACTCCCCAGGGGAGATGCCACAATTCCATTTTTAACTTTTCGAATATCCTTACAATGGGAATAATGTTAACTACATTGAAATATTGGGGTGACTGGAGAAAAGTCATTGCATATGTTTTTGTTTCTCTATGCAAAAATGCATCATGACTTTTCTGACGACCCAATGTATGTGACAGCCCTAAATGCTTCCCTAGCACACGGAAGGACTTCAACTTCTAATAATTCGAAGGTGCCAATTATTTCCTATCTTAAGTGTCCTGTTTTTTGTTGAAATTAGACTAACTTTTTCAATTTGCTCTTATAGCATTCTTGACACGTAGAAATTGCCCTAGAGTAGCTCTACTTGGGTTCAAATTATTTCTGAAGGATCACAGATACACCTGTGTGCTTTTGAGGAGACTTGGGTAACAAAAGAAACATCGCAGATAATGTACTTCGAATTTGTAAGAGGAAAGTGGTGTTTAACAAACATTCTTTCAAATGGACTTACTCTTGATTAAAGGATTTTATAACCTGGGTTCAAGGAAGCCGGACAACTGTATAAGTACATCTATCTCAGCTTAAAAATCAGCATCTAGCTTGGCTTCTTCATGTCTCCTCGTTGTCAGCACAGAAAATCACACAGGAACAGCCAACACTTCTTGGTCAGTGTCTTCTAGGAAGGGGAACGGGCCTCACAGCACCACCCAGTGGGCAAGGCTCCACTCCCAAGACTGCACCTCTGGGGAGCTGAAGATTTCCCTCACCCTATTGATAGGAGTGGAGTGGACACTCATTTAAATTATTACCCAGTGTTAACGTGGAAATAATTTAGGGACCAAGGATGTCATTACCCAGCACTGGAGAAGACGGGACATGGGGTAGAGTTGTGAAGTAGGAAGTAGAGAATTGCAGAAGAGTTATTTTTTATTTTTATTTTCTCACGCTGCCCTCAGTTATAAAATATTGATGAGAAACTAGGTGGTCTCAGAAGTGCCTTTGAGGTCAACAACTTTAATAGAGCTAAATCCATGGCACTAGAAAACAAATATGATGCAACAGCATTGCACTGCTAGCAAAAGGAACATATGCCATTCTCAAACGTTCCGATTGGGCGCTTTTGCTAGCTTATCACTGTGTTTATGGAATTCATTCTCACTGAATTCTTGATTAAAGTGGGACAGATGGTGAAGGTTTTAAGTAATGTGTTCATTACCAGACCTCATGCCACTAATGGCTATTTCCTGGAACAGTGGCCTGTTCGTAAGTAGCAAATAAATCCTTCTCCAGGGGACTCCACTACAGGGCAGTATTTACCAACCTTTGTGAGAATGTTCATTTTAAATTTTCACTTCCTTTTCAAACACGCCTTTTTTTCTATTAATAAAAAAGGCTCAGTACCCTCTCCCCTTATTCTGATATGAACCCTCCACCTGAGAAACTCTCACAGCCTGTCTTCTCTGTATCTCTTTTTTTTTTTTTTTTGGAGAGATTTTTTTGCTATAGGGTGCATGCGCTCGCCAGACAGACAGAGAGAGACATAGAGACAGAAAGCGAGAAATCGCCCCCCAGGGGGGATGGTCACACCGCAATCCCTTCTCCTCCATTCTCCTCTCGGGATCTTGGGCACACACGCACACGTGCCCGGTGTGAGTTTTAAGCCACCGGGTCCGGGACACGAACCGCGGTCGACTCCGTGGGAGTCCAGCGACATAACCATTACGCTAACTGCTGGTTCCCTTCTCTGTATCTCTTTAAACTGAGACTTGGCAAGCTTTCGTTTTTAGAGCCTTATGTATTTACATGCTTGTTCTACAAATATGAAATACCTTTACATTAAATATGATTAAAAACAAATTCCCAGACTTTGCCCCTCATCAGCTCCACTCTAGGAAATCAGTATTCTGGGAGGTTGCTACACCACCTTGCTGAGCCATGGGCAGCCCGGCTGCACACTCTGTCACAGAGCTCCTAGAGACAGCCCTCAACCTGGGCCAATTTCAAGCCAGGAGGGAGGCCATCGCTTCTTAAAAATGTCCTGCCCACATCTGAACCACTGAATCTTATTCTGAGTATGTTACCCTAACCAATATTTTTAGTCTCTCTAAAGGACTACCAAGATAACAGGGGAGATGTGGGGAACTGCTTGAGCCTCACACAATCCAGATATACTATATTATAATCTCCGGAAGAAGAGACTATGCGTGGTTTTGTTCACAAATGTTTATCTAATTCCTAGCTCTGCACAGCACACAGTGAGTGCTCAGACGTTTACTAAAGAAACAGTCGAGTAATACATTGTGTCAGTACTCTGAGATGAACTCACGTCTGATACAGAATCCCTGGGGTTGCTACAAAATAGAAATGATCTCTCATTGGCCTTTTGTTCATTTTCAGGCTCTGACAGGTGGCCACTAATCTTGACCAGCGTTACTGGGTTTGAGGTAAGGTGATTGCAAGCCTCGACTTAAATTTCAAGCTGGTCAATCAAGTTATCTGGCTAATCAACTACATCTGCTTTCCAGAATTGTCTTCCTCTCCTAAATGCAAATATTCTTTGGACTATATTAGTGTATAATAGTTTGTTAAATTATTTATTATGGTATCAATTATTCAGATTATTACTGAGTACTCAAATAGACATTCCAGTAGTCTCCAAGTAGCATAATTATGAACTGTCACGCGTAGATAATCCAACTGTCCAAGATTCTACTAAAAGTAAAGCACTCAGTGACCCACTATATAACATAGATGTAGCTGTATATTATTAGATTCAGTTAAGTTGGGCTCATTTATCTTTTGTGTTTTTCTCATAGGACCTCCATGAAGACTACAAATTCAGTTAAATTCATAGTGTAATAAAACTGAAAGTGCTTGAGAAATATTCTAAAACCGATCAAAGTTCCTTTGTTAAGAAATGATAATAGTGAAAGGTGATGTGATGGTTTTAAAATGACACTTCTAAAATGGCACAATCCCAGGCAGATTCATGAAACAAATTAAGGGTGGAAAGAGCAGAGGCAAATCAGGGGATAGATACAATAAACATAAAATTAAATTGGATGATATTTACTAGAAGCCAAAGTCTTCATTCTTATCTACTTGCAACTTAATTTCAGAGATGCCAGTTTTCAATGTGTTTTGCTGTTAAACAACAACTACTATTCCTTGATTTGTCTAAATTCGAAGACTTTGGAATTGAATTTGTGTGTTCGCATTTTATATGTCTGGAGTTCTAATAACTTAAGGAAACACTGCATAGAAGTTTTTATAAGTTTTGTCTATATTACTCTTCCCTACAAATATCTTTTACATATTTTAATTTCCACAAAATAGCTTTTTTAATTTTTATTTTAATTGTCAGAGGCCATATGTACTCACCAGAGGGAGAAAGACAAGACATAAAAAGAGAGGCAAAGAGAAAGGCTCCTCCATTGGGGGCACGGTCACATGAAATCCCTTCTCTTCCATTTCTCCATCCTTTCAGTATTTGGGGCATACACACACATGCACTCAGCACATTTCCCAAGCTTTCAGGGCCAGGATTCGAATTGTGGTTTGCCATATGGGATCTGGCTTCATTAAGCACTAGGTGACAGGACTAGCTCTTAAAAGTTTTTCTTCATGTGAACTATATCTACCTTCAGTGCAGCCAAAGGTTTTTACAAACTCAGACTGGATTAGGGAGGCCAGGAATGGATACTGCATGGACTCTGGTACATAAAAGGGCTACGATTACAGGGATCCACTATATCATTACTCTCAGATGGACTTCGTGATCTTTTCTACTATTTCCATTTGCAGCCTCCCTTTCCCCTTTCTGAGACACACATTTACTAGAAAGAGAAAGTGACAGACCATAAGACTATTTGCAGAGGGGTAAATCAATAGCTGCGGTAAGAATCATGATAATGTTTAAGGAAGAAACTAACACTAGTAATTACTTCTTGAAACCAAGTGTTGCAAAGGGTACTTTCACTTAATGCTTATTAAATTCACTGTCCAATTTATTTCAGTGTTATTCTCTTTCATCTCATCTTAACCCTGTGAAGAAGAAATCCCAATTCTCCAGGGGCTTACTTTTTCCATTCTCTGAACAAGATTTTCCAGTTCGGTGATTTGACTGTGTTTTTCTTCAAGTTTTTCAGCAACTTGGTTCAGATTTTCAACGTTTTGTTTCAATTCCTGTTCTTTTTCAAGCTTGTTAACCTTTGGTCAAAAACAAAAATCAAACAAAAAAATCAGCTGTCAAACTCTTGTTTTTATTAAGCCTCCATCAATTATCTCCATCAATACTCCTGTAACCAGCAATAAAATAAAATAAAATAAAATAAAATAAAGAAAGAAAAAAAAAAGAAAAGGAGAAGTCAAGAGGCCGGCAGTTGACAGTGGTAGGAGCACTGGACTCCCACATGACCAACCATGATTCAAGTCCCTTGGAAATCACGCTGGGAACGAATGTGTGCGTGCCCAAAATCCCGGGAAGAGACTGGGGAGAAGGGTTTGTATCATGGTCATCCCCCCTTTGCGGGGGGTGATTTCTCACTGTATCTCTCTCTGGTGAGCGCGTGTGCTCAGAGGCAGAAAAAAAATGCATATGCGTGTGCATATCTGTGTATCTAACAGAACTCAGATTCCACAGTAAAAACTGTGTCCCAGGCTGGCCTGGTAAGTCTAGTGGTAAGAGAGCTAGATCCTATGTGGCCAACCACAGCTTAAATTGCAGCCCTGAGGACTTAAAAATAGGGACCAGTAGTTAGCATAATGGCTATGTCGCTGGACTCCCACGTAGTTGACCGCGGTTCGTGCCCTGGACCCGGTGGCTTAAACCTCACGCCGGGCGCGTGTGCGTGCGTGCCCAAGATCCTGAGAGGAGAATGGAGGAGAAGGGATTGCGGTGTGGCCATCCCCCCTGGGGGTTGATTTCTCTCTCTCTGTCTCTCTGTCTCTATCTGTCTGGCGAGCGCACGTACCCTATAGCAAAAACCTCTCCAAAAACAAACAAAAACAAAACAAAACAAAACAAAGCATTCTGATCTGGCATGCAGGCATACCCCAAATCCCATAAGGATTAAATGAAGAAAAGTTTGCAGTGTGACTATACTCCATGGGGGGTGCTTTCTCCCTCTCCCTCTCTCTGTTTGTCTCTCTGTAGTGAATGCACACACTGACAGTTAAAAAAATGCATGAATGAATGAATACAATATATGTTCCAGCCCAGACACAGTGGGCACATGACTACTTCATGCCTGAGACCACGTAGGAGGGCCCCGGGTTCACATCGCAGGTCTGCCACAGCAGAAAAGTGGCCCTGGCTTACTACAGAGTTGGAAGGGGATTACAGTGTGAAGATCCTGTGGAAGGTGCATCTCTTTCTGTCTCTCAGAGATAAATAAACCATTAAAAAATAGAAACTAAACATGTTAAATTTCCTTTGAAAACACCATTTGGGCATTCTTTCTAGGCAACTCCAGAGTGGAGCTGAGGTGCCATGGAAGGGACACGTGCTCCCTGTGCCTGCAGACCCCACAGCCAGCACAACACACTTCCCATCCACACCTGCCAGTTCCCTTCACTCATTCATGTCCTTCATCTGCACCTGCACGTTGGAGCGTTTGTGGTCACCCGCCACAGCCTGCAGCATGAAGGGTGTCACCTCCACAGAGGATTTCTACTGAACTCCCCTGGGACCCTCCCCAGACCTGAACTGGCAGTCCCTGGAACCCCACTCAGGCATGAATGAACTTCTCTGTGTGATTAACTGCTTTAAATTGTGATGTTCAGTACACACACACACACACACACACACACACACACACTTTTTCTACTGTTCTAAAATACCTGTTTTTCAAAGTTTTATTGGTTCTAATATACATACTTCAGAATTTCAAACAAACAAAAGATGTATGTTTGTTCATATTTTGCACTTTATATATATATATAATTATATATTAAAATATACAATCATATACATTTAAATATATCTATACACATATACATATTTTTGCTTGTCTTTTATCGTTCTTTTTTCAGTCTGAAGAATATATTTTAGTGTCAAATATATTTGAAAAGTGTCCACCTTGCCCAAGTTTTTCCTTCTGTAGACTAGGGAACCCAGGTCCAGAGAGGCAGTGATTCAATCTCTGTCTAGTTAGTCAAAGGTAGAAGCAGAGTCACATAAATGGACAGTCTCCTGGGCTGGCCCTGCTTTTCACGCAGGTAGCACTGCCTTCTTCCCACCCGGACTCTGCAGGGCTCTGAGCAAGAAGACAGCTCAGCCACACCTGGTGTCGGGCTAAGCAGGGCTGGGGACAAATCTCCCAGAAGACGGGCTCCTGTGCTCCCCAAATTTGCCACATCCCTTGGTTGGCTGTTGCTAGTTTCACATCTAACTCCTCCAAAGGAGGGGCTGGAAAGGCTCAGGATAGGGTTATTCTCCACCTGACAAGCTGCTGGCTCATTACCTGGAGTATGTGTTTACTGTCCTCATGCTTCTTCCTAGCTTCTTCAGATTGTGTTTGGTAGTTTTCAAATAATCTCTGGGCCACGTTTCTCAGAGCTGCTGCTCCCGCTTCTCTGGAGGCTTCCAGCTAGGGGAAAAAAAGGCCACTATGTATGTTTTGAAATTTATAATAAAAAGGGTTAAAGGCAGAACAGTGCAGTGGGCAAGTAAAAACAGACAGCCCAGAACCGTATCATTTCCAGTCATTGACAATGAGGAGAAGAAAAGATAGTATTACTTGGTAGGAGGAAAATGTAAAATGGGGAAACGCCTAGTTAACTCAGGCAGATTTGCCCTGGTCACGCCAAACCAGAGCACTGTGTATGTTGATGGCCTGAGGTTAGAGATTGTGCCCTCCCAAGAACTCCCCAGTGCCCTCTCAGCTCACACAGTCATGTGCAAGTCTTTTACTATTGATGTATCTTTCAGAAACAGAAATGGACAAGTTTGGAGTATTAAAAGAAAGAAAGCTAAAGTATCATGATTTTTTTCAAGGATTTAACCTAAGGAAATAATCAAGTGTAGAGGCAAAGATTTGCCTACCAAGGTGTTAATTGTTGGATTACATAAAAAATAAGCACTCAAAAATAAAATATAAGCATTCAACAATAGATTAAAGAAGTAATGAGACATTTGACTATGAAGATTACAAATTAACATTGAATTATAAAAACTAATTAATATGAATGTAATTATGTAAAAACAGTTTTTAAAATTGTGGGAGATGGCAGGTGGTAAGATGGTTAGGGCCACTGGACTCCTACATGGCCGATTGTGGTTTGAGTCCTGGACCTGGTGACTTGCTTTCTCACTTTTTGTCTCTCTCACTCTTTATCACTTGGTCCCTCTGGCCAAATTAAAATAAATAAATAAATAAAATTTTAAAAAATAACTTTGTGAAGGAAAGGGGAAAATAAAACAAAATTGATTGTGATAAAAACACTTTATATGAGATCTAGCCTCTTAGCAAGAATGTAAGTGTATAATACAGTATTGTCAAATATTGGGCCTTTGGAATAGTCAAAATGTATTTGTCTGTTTTCTTATTATTTTAATTTTTTATACATTCAATTACTATACATCACTATACCTTATAAAGTGAATTTACCCAACATGAATACACTTTAAACCAGTCCAGTTGAAGATATCATACATATTAACCTCAATAGACAATTATCCATTTCTGTGTCCCTTGCCTTTCTCTTTCTCCTTGATTCTTTTCCTCTCACTCTCCTCCATCTCCCACCTTTTCCCCTCTTCATCTCCAGTATCTGTAACCTTTTTCCATGCTTCTATATCTTCTAATCTTTCAGTTTCTGCCATAAAGTGTGGACATTCGGTATATAATAAGTGGAGAAATACAATTTCTCTCTTTTACAGCCTGACTTTCTTCACTCAGCAGTAAATCTTACACATCTGTCCACTTTCTAACAACTGCCAGAATCTTGTGGTTTTTAATGGCTGAATAGTATTCTGTAGTGTATATGAGGCACACTTTTTCAATCCATTCATCTGTCCATGGACAGTTGGGTTAGTTCCATGTCTTAGCAATTGTTAATAATACCACAATAAACATGAATGTGCAAGCACTTTTCTGACTCAGCATTTTCCTATCCTTTGGGTAGATGCCCAGGAGTAGAGTTTCTGGATCATATGGTAGTTCTATTTGTAAGTCTTTGAGGAACCTCCATATTCATCTCAACAGTGGTTGAACTAATTTACATTCCCATCAACAGTGTAGGAGAGTTCCTTGTTCACCACAGCCTTACCAGCACTTAACGTTTTTCACTTTTTAAATCTGAGCCATTCTGACTGAGGTTAGGTGATATCTCATTGTGATTTTGATTTGCATCTACCTTATGATGAAGGATGTTGGGCATTTTTTATATGCTTTCATCTCAACAGTGGTTGAACTAATTTACATTCCCATCAACAGTGTAGGAGAGTTCCTTGTTCACCACAGCCTTACCAGCACTTAACGTTTTTCACTTTTTAAATCTGAGCCATTCTGACTGAGGTTAGGTGATATCTCATTGTGATTTTGATTTGCATCTACCTTATGATGAAGGATGTTGGGCATTTTTTATATGCTTTTTGGCTGTTCATATGTCTTCCTTAGAGAGTTGTTTGTTCAGCTCATTTAATTGGGTTTGTTTTTTTGTTTTTGTTTTTTGGGGTTTTTTTTGATGAGTCGCTTGGGTTCCCTGTGTATTCTGGTTATCAGTCCCTTATCTGAAACATAGTTTACAAAAATATTCTCCCATTCCAAAGGGTTGTTTATTCACACTAATTACTATGTCTTTTGCTGTCCAGAAACTTCTTAACCTGATTTTTCTATGAAAATATGTGTCATGACTTTTCCAATGACTCAACATAAGCAGAGCACATCTCTAAAACGTATTTATCTTGCATAGTTGCAATTTTACAACCACTGAACTTTTGTTAAGGTTTCTTTAAATAATAAAAGTAGTCTCCAAAATAAAACAGTGAGATTTAGTTTATAAAATATAAAAATACTTCTTCACATGTGTGCACATACATGTGAACTTTTGGATGTTTGTATGTTTGTGACTGCCTCCCTGCTTTTACAGAGCTATGGATGCTAACAATCTATCCGATAGAGCAAAGTGTCAAAATGGAAAATTGGAAACGTCTCTTAATTGTCGTACCTTGATTTTCAATACTTCATTCTCTTTGTTTATTTCCAAGAGCTGTAGGTCTTTTCCTTTCATCTTTTCCATGAGCGAATTAACACTGCAACAAGAAGGCTCCATCTCACTCTCAGCGCCATTTTGAATATTTCCACAGCACTGGAATGGACAAACAGGAAATCACAGAGCTGACCATTGCTTTCTCTACTAACTTTGGCAACAATAACTACACTGAGTATTACATATATCAAAGAGGATTCAGATTAGCATAGATAAAATAAAGTTCTTAAAATCTCAAGTATCTATAAGTAACTCTAGATGGGGTTTCTGGTCTGTTTGAACAGATTCTTATAATAAAAAAGATGGAACTACATCATTTATACCTTTTATATTTCTTAGAGTTTCAGGAATACTGTTAAGTGCTTCTCAGGAAATACCTATAGATATTATTTATTTTTTGAATCTAAGTTGTAGACATAAATACACTTTGGTTACATTGCATTACAGGAAAATATAATCAGGTTTAATAGTAACAATATATAATATTTAATGTTCAGTAAGGCTTCACTGCAATCCCCTTATATTAAATTTCCAATCAGAGATATCAGAACTGAGTATGTCCATGGACAGTTGGGTTAGTTCCATGTCTTAGCAATTGTTAATAATACCACAATAAACATGAATGTGCAAGCACTTTTCTGACTCAGCATTTTCCTATCCTTTGGGTAGATGCCCAGGAGTAGAGTTTCTGGATCATATGGTAGTTCTATTTGTAAGTCTTTGAGGAACCTCCATATTCATCTCAACAGTGGTTGAACTAATTTACATTCCCATCAACAGTGTAGGAGAGTTCCTTGTTCACCACAGCCTTACCAGCACTTAACGTTTTTCACTTTTTAAATCTGAGCCATTCTGACTGAGGTTAGGTGATATCTCATTGTGATTTTGATTTGCATCTACCTTATGATGAAGGATGTTGGGCATTTTTTATATGCTTTTTGGCTGTTCATATGTCTTCCTTAGAGAGTTGTTTGTTCAGCTCATTTAATTGGGTTTGTTTTTTTGTTTTTGTTTTTTGGGGTTTTTTTTGATGAGTCGCTTGGGTTCCCTGTGTATTCTGGTTATCAGTCCCTTATCTGAAACATAGTTTACAAAAATATTCTCCCATTCCAAAGGGTTGTTTATTCACACTAATTACTATGTCTTTTGCTGTCCAGAAACTTCTTAACCTGATTTTTCTATGAAAATATGTGTCATGACTTTTCCAATGACTCAACATAAGCAGAGCACATCTCTAAAACGTATTTATCTTGCATAGTTGCAATTTTACAACCACTGAACTTTTGTTAAGGTTTCTTTAAATAATAAAAGTAGTCTCCAAAATAAAACAGTGAGATTTAGTTTATAAAATATAAAAATACTTCTTCACATGTGTGCACATACATGTGAACTTTTGGATGTTTGTATGTTTGTGACTGCCTCCCTGCTTTTACAGAGCTATGGATGCTAACAATCTATCCGATAGAGCAAAGTGTCAAAATGGAAAATTGGAAACGTCTCTTAATTGTCGTACCTTGATTTTCAATACTTCATTCTCTTTGTTTATTTCCAAGAGCTGTAGGTCTTTTCCTTTCATCTTTTCCATGAGCGAATTAACACTGCAACAAGAAGGCTCCATCTCACTCTCAGCGCCATTTTGAATATTTCCACAGCACTGGAATGGACAAACAGGAAATCACAGAGCTGACCATTGCTTTCTCTACTAACTTTGGCAACAATAACTACACTGAGTATTACATATATCAAAGAGGATTCAGATTAGCATAGATAAAATAAAGTTCTTAAAATCTCAAGTATCTATAAGTAACTCTAGATGGGGTTTCTGGTCTGTTTGAACAGATTCTTATAATAAAAAAGATGGAACTACATCATTTATACCTTTTATATTTCTTAGAGTTTCAGGAATACTGTTAAGTGCTTCTCAGGAAATACCTATAGATATTATTTATTTTTTGAATCTAAGTTGTAGACATAAATACACTTTGGTTACATTGCATTACAGGAAAATATAATCAGGTTTAATAGTAACAATATATAATATTTAATGTTCAGTAAGGCTTCACTGCAATCCCCTTATATTAAATTTCCAATCAGAGATATCAGAACTGAGTATTACTGTCGATATAACTGAAAGCAAACTCTAGCTCACTGAAAATACACTTGGAACATAAATCTTATCTGGAATCATGGATATATGGAATTAGAAAGCAAATTAGAAATCATCTAGCTTAACCCACCAATTTTACAGATGTAGATTACCCAGAACCTAAAGTTTATGCAGCAAATGAGGGGGAGAGCTCAAGGAACAGCCTCTTGATCATACCTTTTATGTTATTCCTGCTCTTCCTTTAACTTGTTTCAAGGCAGAGAAATTGTAATATAATTACACATATTCTACAATTATAATAATGACTTCTATTTGTTAAGCACCTTTTAGATGCCAAGCCATCTTGTAGATGTTTTACATACACTTTTTTGAACACTCAACATTAGAAGACACTTTACACATTATAAAGATGAGAAAATCGAAAATGAGAGAGTCTGACAAGCCCAAGGTTATACCTAAAATAATTATAAGAACCAGAATTAGAATCAAAGTTCATTCAACAACAAGCCTGTTTTACCTCCACTACAATATACTGGCTCTATTTATAGAGATAGAAAATAATTTAGTACATATAGATGATATCCTCCATCACCATATTTCTGCCATGCTCCTATTTTTTATAGTCTAGACTCTAGTGCTTACTCTCACCATATAGCATATGGAGTAGGAACTATTTTCTTTTTCCTTTAAGACTCTTGAAGAACACCAATTACTGGCAGTGATAGATGGTCACAAAGGTCATAGATTGGTACTTCTCAAATTTTAATGTGTGTATGAATCACTTGGTGAGCAATCTGATTTAAAAAAAAGCGGATTCTTAGTCAGGTGGTCTGGACAGAAGCCCTAGATGTTGCATTTCTAACAAGTTCCTGGTGATGCTAATCCTGCTAGTATCTGCATATGACACCTTGAGAGTAGCAAGGCCATAGGTCATTAAGGCAAAATTCTTATAAGACCAGAATGATGATTCTTTGGTGCTTCGTTGGTCTCCTAACTGTCCATGGTTTGAGATAGCTGAAGCAGATGCACTAATGCCATAATGTCATCCCCTCCCCTAAGAAGCCACTCTGTCAAGGCCAACAACAACCTCCATATTGTTATCATCAATGGTCCTCAATGTATTTACCCCATGGACAGCATTGACAGAATGGTCCTTTCCCCTTACTTACCTTAACTGACTCATTTCCTCCTTTTCCTCTTAATTCACTGGCATCTCTTCCCAGCCTCCAGTGACGGTTCCCCTTTTTCCCAATGTCTAGTCATGGGAAACCTCAGAACTCAGTCCTTACATCGTCCTTTGTTTCCACTCACAGCCACAATTGCTTGGTAATCTCATCACGCTTCAAAAGTTAAATATCATCCACAAGTACCTCAGTCTCTACCCTGTAGCTTAGATCTCATAGGTGACACTTCTACTCTCAACTCCAGGTCTTATGTTCAGACACCTCTTAGAAACCTCCACGTGGGGAATCTAACAGACAACTCAATATAGTCGAAACTAAGTTGCTGATCTTCCCTGTCATTCCTAAATATAATCCTTTCTTCCAGTTTTAGAGCACTTAACAAGAAAGTAATTGAAGCCTGTTGTGTGTTAGCTTGGCAGGTTGGGGCTGATAAAAGGGACTTGTTTATGAGCCATACCCATATCCTGGTATACTCTGTGGTCACATGTACAGTGGTTAACACTGAGGAGGTATACTTGACTCAGATGAGGGTCAACCTGGCATAATCCAACCAACACCAGGTGCAAATTTTCTGACCTTGGATACACAGGCTGATCTTAGGCAAAGAGGTGCATACTAAAGCTTATCAAATACCTGGCATGGTCTCCACTAACTCAGGCCTAACAGCATTCACTGTGTGTTAATGTTATAACCCAGGTGAGCCAAAACAATTATACCTTTGTCTGTCACTAGGAGAGCTTGCTGCCGTATGTCCTGGTTGGGTTTATATCTTCCCATGTACTATAAGTAAGTAAGCCCCATTTGCAACATTCATATCAGTTCTGGTCATTCCCACCTCTTCTTACTAATGAGACCCATTGCTAAGCAATACACACAGATGGCCATTAACAAGTTTATGTACACATGAAATATTTTAGCCCTCATCATTCAAAGCTTCAAAGACTGTAATAACTACCAAAAAGTTATTTAAATAAAGTCTATATGACTTTGTATTAATTTCCTGAAGCACTAGAAATATTAAATGTTGACCAATTCATTACCTTTGTGTCTAGTTTGTGATTTGTACTGCCTCGTCCTACTTCATCTTTAAACATTTGATTTCGGATCTTTTCCAGGGTTGTTCGAATCTGCAGGGAAAATAATTTTATTTTTATCAAAAGCTTAAAATGCCAAATGATTTTTTTTCTCTCTGCCAGCTATTGACACCTGATTTATCTAGAAAGTAACACATATAATGTACACTGATGTCAGATTTAAATAATGACCATCAATTCCACATGCTTTGGGGCATTTTTTTTTTAGATTTTTTAAAATTCAGATTGCTAAACATAAGCATTTGGTCTTTATTACCCTTTCTCACACAAACCTAAAATATGACAATCTAAATTATTATACTACTAAATCATTATTAGTTAGTAATTAGTGTGTAATACCATTTAGTTCTATTTTGCCTATATCATAATTTAGTACTAATTTACTATTTAGTAATTACTATAAAACAATTACTATTTAGTAATCACTAAAAAATAATTACTATCTAGTAATTACTACAAAATAATTACCACCTAGTAATTACTACAAAATAATTACTATTAAGTAATTAGTACAGAATAATTACTAAGAGATCATACACATTTATGTACAAAATATAAGCCCCATGTGTTGATGACCAAAGGAATTGGAAAACACTCAGAGATACTTTAATTGATCTGCACGAGTTATGGTCTGTCTATGTCAGAATATTTCCATGTGTTCTCAGAAGCAGTGGATGAGAGTATATACCTTTATCAGTCATTATCATTTTGGATTCACACGGACTTCACATTTTTAGTGAAGTAACAGGCCGACATGCAGTTGGCAAGAGCTATGAAAGGAACAGGGTAACCAGACACACGAGCTCAGAAGGAAACATAAACATATCCTTGGGAACATGGTATCCACACTCAGGAAACAACTGGCAAAGCTTCTAAAACAGTAGGAAATCCAGCAGTGATATGGGACGAAGTAAGTGTCTATGGGTATTTTGAACCCTCCCGGCCCATTACTTAATTTTAGTGAGTTAAGAAAGTCATTTGACTGCAATGTAGGAATAGTTACACATCCTCAAGAGAAACTACTGAGCACGTATTTAAATTTCAGCTATCAAGATTGTCCGTTGCCAAACTATGTTTGTTTCTTTTCTTGTGTTCTACAAAGAGGGAAACAAAGTGCATCTATTCGTGTTGGAACTATCTTTAAAATAATAGCATGCTAATGATTTCTGGCACCCACGTACCTTTTTCACATATTCCGTTTCTTCAATAATGTGAGCAGGTATAGATTCATACAAGGCAGAATTATCTTCTATTTTACCCCTTGGGGAAACTTCTGTGGTCACTGTGATTGATGTCATGGTGAATTCTGACTTTAGAAAAACATAAATCAGCTAAGAAAACAGACTTTTTAAAATCAGGATTGTGTACTTCATACTTAAAGAATTTATCATTAAAATCCAAAATAGCCAAAAAACTATAAATCATTGCGATCTATATATATATTTAAAAATATAGAAATCAATTAAATATAACAGTAGTACCATCTAAAGCAAGGACTAATTAAAAATTTAAAAAGTTAAATAACATAAGAAATTAAAAAAAGTGAAATTTCTATCTTGAATAGCTGAGTAACATCGTCTTTGTAAAACTGCGAGGGCAGAATCAATATTAGTCATCTTTTTTTTTAAGTTTATTTCTTCCTTTCAGTAGCAAGAGACACACAGAGACAGGGAGAGAGAGAAAGAGAAAGAGGCAGGCAGCCCAGTAAAGTCTTTGTCCCACAATCCTCTTCTGGCTTCAGTCAGCCCTTGAGTCTTAAGCCCAGGTGCACCCAGCATGTTCAAGAAAGTATCCAGGAGTGAACCCAGAACCTTCCCATGTGGATCAGCCTCGAAGAGTGTTGCATTACCACTGTATCACCGTGTAGCCCTCTTTTCATCTTTACATTCTAGTATGTTAGGTAAGAGCCCTACAATCTGATCTAGAATTGTGAGTATAAATACTGATGCCTTTTCCCTAAAATAAATATATTTTTCCTCCAGCCATTGCAAAACCTAAAAATAGCAGAAAGTAATCCTCCTAGTGGCCAGTCTGGGGTCTCTGTATGTCATATCCTACTAAAAAGAAACAAGAGCTTCTTGGCTGATTCAGGTCTGAGGCAAGAAATGTGTAAGTAAGTCTGAGCTACCTGGTCATACCAACCAGCAATACACTCATCAATATCAATACTGCTTGAATAAGACCCAAAAGCCATTTAGAAGACAGATGACAATGATGAATTGAGACATATCAAAATGTTTATTCCCTACATTTACGATGACAAGAGTAAAACTGATAACACTTGCAGTCCACCTTTGGAAGTTGGTAAGGCAACAACTTAGTGGATATAGATGACAATTACGCTAGAAAGTGGCAGAAAAAGAAAAAGAAGAAACAGAAACGGAAACAATCATTTGTCTTGCCTTTACTATATGAGCTGTATTTTATGGGAACCAAATAGTTGATGAAGGACTGTTCTCTGTTCTGCCTCTTTTCAGCTAATAAACAGAAAAGAATGATAGAATTAGAAAACCTACATATTACAACTCTATGAAAGACTTAAACAACACTGACCAACCAGAGGTAAAAAGAAGAGATGAACGTTTGTTGGACTACATTAACCTGAGAGAGCCATTCAACAATCTTAGCATAACTAAAATTTGCTATAAATTAAGAATCTTGACAGACACGTGACCAAATATAATATAAGGGGTCTTCAAAAAGTTCATGGAACTGCGTATTATGAAAACACTAGACAAACATTTTGCATCACAATAAACTTGGACTTGAATTAAATTTTTCCATCAGTTTTTAAAATCCCCTTATATATCAATCTTGATTGGATCCTGACTCAAACAAACCAACTATGTGAAGATACTTTTGAGATCTACTAGCTATTGAGGATGCTAAATAATTATAATTTTCTAGCAGCGGTGAAATTAGGACATTCTTTTGAAAGCTCTTATCTATGAGAGATACATACAGATATATTCGCAGGTGAGATATTACATTCAGAATGTCTAAAACTATTCCAGAAGTGTGGCTGACCCTGTAGTATGGCAGTTAAACTCTGTGTCTAGAAAGCTGGACAATAAATGAACACCCTGGGCTCAAGTCCACTCCCCAGTGGCCTGAAAACAAACAAACAAACAAACAAACAACAAGAACATCTTGAAAAAACAATTAAAAAAAAAGACCACACCGGATGCATGTATATCTAGGCACCCCAAATCCTCTTGGGGTGGAGAAAGGGAGGAAAAAGGATTGCAGCCTGAACAAGCCACAAGGGGACTGGGGATTCTCTCACATGCCCATAAGGGCATGCATCGACCTTCTAGCAATTGAAAAACAGAAGTCTAGCAAGTACAGGTCATTAAAGCTGAGAGATAGGCTGTAGATTTTATTACATTCCTTTGTTTGAAATTTCTGTAATAAATAGTAAAGAACAAAAAAATAAATTCTAAAGAAAAGCCTGTGAGGTAGTATTGGTAATCCCATTTTATTGATGAGGAAGTTGAGTGCCATAGTGATGTTAACTTACCAAAGATGTCAGTTAAGCTCAAATATGGGACTTTCTGATTACCAAGGTCAGGGGTGTTTCAATCCCATTCAGGCTTGCTTCCCTAGAGAGAAACAGCAAAAGCAATAAAATATTGTAGATCTAGCAATGAGCTCAGCTGCTAAGAGAATTTTCATGTTTGCAGGCATCTCTTTGAAACAAGATAGCTTCTGGGTATACCACAAAGTCCTGCATTTATCCTTTAGTCTTCAATGAAATGGACAGGACATGCCAAGTATTTTCCATTTTATTATAAATCCTCTGAGACAGCACCTATGGCTTCCATTTGTTTCAGCTGAAGTTGATTTGGCAGAAGCAACCCTAAAGTCTGCTTTTGCAAAATCTGAATGAAAGTGCTTTTCTTACTCAATCTCAGAAGTCTCTCCCAGGATTAAGGTCTTGATCTAAGCACTTACATGTACAAAGTGAAAGACACACTCACAGAGGATCCCAGTGGTGATAAAACTCAATGCTCTGCAAGGCAGACCCATGATAAGGGTTGGGGAGTTCCATGTTAACCTCCAAAGACCTCTTGAGTACACTGGGCATGTGTATGCCCACGACCTAGGGTTGGCTGAGGCTGGAGGTAGGCCATTGGCATTAAAGCCTCCCTGGGCATTCTGTTTCTCTCTTTCTCTTTCTTTTTCTCTCAGAATAAATAAATAAATAAACTAAAAAAAAAAAAAAAGAATCACCTACAGAGATAATAAGCAACATGCATGGAAACCTGAAGCAGGGGTGGTCAGACCAGGGTAGGGCTTAGCAAACCAGTCTGTGTGCCCAATCTGACTTTAGGCCTGTTTGTACAGCCTGTGAGCTAAGAACAGTTCTTTCATTTTGGAAAGATTGGGAAAGAAAAAAAAAAAGAAAAACATTTCCAGACACATGAGAATTACACAAAGTTTACACTCAGTGTCCCTCAATAAAGTTGTGCTCTAAGTGACCACGGGCATTTATTTTCATGTTGCCTAGGCTGCTTTGGCACTCCAACAACACAATTAAGTAGCTGCCATAGAGAAAGTGCACACTGATCTCAGAAGGTGGCATAGTAATCGCGGCACTAGACTCCCACGTGGCCAATCGCGGTCTGAGTCCTGGACTTGGTGGTTTGAAACACACCGGGCAAGTGTGCATGAATGCCTCAAATCCCAGGAAGGAGGAGAATGAAGGAGAAAAACCTCTCTCTCTAAAAATAAAAAAAAAATAAAAAAATAAAATTAAAAAAAAAAAAACAAAGAAAGAAGGAAAGAAAGAAAAAGAGAGAAGGCATCCAACAACATATAGCAAGGGAAGCCTAAAATACTTACTATCTGGTCCTTTATAGAAAAGGTTTGTTAATCTCTGGGTTAGAGAACGGCAGGGAGTCGGAGCAGGACCAAGGGGGAAAGAGAGGCAAGCAAAGTGACCCACCTGGCCTACATTGGGTCTCCGTTCTGCAGGTCAGTCCACCTGCATCTACGGCTCCATTTGATTGGTTTACTCTGACTCACCTTTTTAGTATGTTAGTCATCGTGCACATTAATAAATGAAAAGAGGCATTTTATCAGAGGAATAAATCACTCTGTAGAATGGATCCCACTGCATTCTCAGTTTTTCAGAATCTGAAAATCTCTTTAGGCCTCACACCATGTGTCTTAAAATACACTCTCCTGTGCCTTTTGTTCTAAATAGCAGGGAATCCTGCTTCTTAATCACTGATCTTTCTCTAAATATTCCACCTTTTCTGCCCACTAGTCACGTCATCTGGAGGCAGTTGTATGAAACCTTAGCCTCAACACCTATCTGTAAAATAGGGGTGGTAACATCTAAAGTTGTGAATGTCATGTGGTAATTCCTTGACATTAAAAAAATAAACAGCACTGAAGCGAAGATATTTGAGAATATTTAACATGAAGACCAATGTGATTTTTGAATTCCCGAAAAGCACTGAGAATGCAAGGGCATCCATTCTAAAGAGTAGTTCAGTCCTCTGTAAACCGCCTTCTCATTTATGAGTTATTTCTTCTTTAAACCCCTGCTTGCAAGAGCCACTGTATGGATACTAACTGCCAATATGGTTGCTTCTGCTACTTCACATTGTTACTAACCACAGAAGACAAGCAGGTCACACCAGAGGAGGTCTGGTTGCAATGCATTATAACCAACTGTATCCACATGAAATTAAATTCCATTTCTCTCTTTGGTTCAGAAAACTTTTATGCCCACAATGCTTCACTTGTAGGAAGAAACCAATGGGGAACGTAAGCCAACAAGGCCCAATTGCCATATGGCACCCCCATCCTGGGGAAAATCCACGTTAGCATTTTATTTCAGCCAGAAGTAGATTAGGCAGATACAATTTTCAAAATAAAACACAATCAGTTAATTAAAGTGAGGGAAGACTTTTATTTGCTTTACGCTAGGATGGATTGAAGACAGCTTACAAGTGGCATGACGCCAAGATGAGTTATTTCCTAGATGAGAGCCTTTCAAACAGGGCTTCCCAGGAGGAGGGGCAGCCAGAACAAACAGGGCTCTGTCACCCTAACTTCAGCTGAAGCAGCTCTGCTCTTCCCTGTGACATACACTGAATTCTCCATGAGAGTTTCTGTGAAGAAACAGGGTTCTACAATAAAAGGTATCGAGGCAGACTGCCTAGTTTTATGGTTTCATCCTGCCATTCGGTAGCTCTATGACCTTTGGCAAATTCCATATCCTCTCTGTACCTAAGTTTCCTTAACTGTGCAGATAGTATTAATGATTAATATGATTAAGTAGTATATAATAAT